TTTAACGTGAAGTGGAGAATTCTCTGCCCCGGCTGGAGTTGTGGAGGGGTCAAAGTTATGCCTTTTCTCGGTGATTATGCCTGCAAAGTGTGTCTCCAGCGTCTCTCCAAAGATTCACTATAGGAGGCTCGCTTTCTGCTTCCTACCTCTAGCCGCCATCTTGGAATTCTCTGATAATCAGTAGTTTTAATTTTGTTTGAAAACATCATTTGGGATTTTATAAAAAAGTAACAGTATTTATCTCCTAGCTTGTTTTAGTAGGCAGGATAGAATTCTTGGATGGATGGAAGGTTTACTGGTGGAAAGATCAAGAAGCTATTTTGTGATAAAGGATTTCCTTGCATTTTTTCCTCTAGTGAAGTAAATTGCTTGTGGTTATTGCTAAGAAAATAATCTTGCTGGCATTGCTTTTAATTTGAATCAGGTTTAAAATGTTTTCAGAAGGGCTAAGATTTCTTTGCAGTAGTGCCTGGTGTGGTCTAGTGAAGGAATGGCTTTGAAATTGGTAGATTTTCTGTGGTTGACCTTCTCACAGAAGGTTCAGAATTGTTGAACAGTAAAACAATAGTACCATTTCTTCATGACTGTTAGGTATGTGAGTACCCTGCCTTCCCTACAGATCAAAATCCCTAAACAATTTCTTTTGCTGATGTTATAAGAATACATGTTTCCAGTGAGTTGTCCAGCCCCACCCAACTGTCACTTTCAAAAAAGGCAAACACCCAATACCAATCTCCCTTTCATGAATTTCTCATACATGGCTACTGAGTGATAACTTCACTTGCCTGCAAGGGGAAGATTAACTTGAGCATTCTATTCTTTTTCTTAAGGTAAGTTTGTGGGTAAATGTCTTAATCTTAGTAAGGTATAGAAACCTTTTATGAGCATGTGAGCAGGTGGACAAATTGTGAAGAGACCATCATAAGTTTAAATTTAGGGAAAATAACTAAAAAACCTCCACTGCTTGGGGGCTCTATTTTTAATCTGATCTCTGCTGGATTCATGAATATTTCAAATGAACCTTGCAGGCGACTCTTTCTTTCTGAGGGCTTTCAGGTGGTTTTCAATGGAAACTTACAGCTTGTCACTTTCATAGAAATGGCTTTAACCCAATACAAGTTTAAAGTGGAAGTCTGAGTTCACTTAAGAGAGAGAGAGATGAAAAACCTGTGTAAGGCAAGTGCATGGTGGCACATGCTTATCATCCCAGTACTTGTGACACTCAGGTGGGAGGATTGAATTTGAGACCAGTCTGGGCTACATAATGAGACCTGTTCTCAAAAAAAAAAAAGAAAGGTTTTGGAAAATTTCACACAAATCTAGTAGAAGGACGCAATAATTTTCTACCTTACTCATATAGTTTTTTCTTTGTTGTTGTTGTTTTTTTCTTAAACAAAGCTGTGGTGATCATGCCTCCC